ATGCCTAGCAACGATTGAATAGATGAATGACGGTATACGCCCATTAAAATATATGTATATGTACTGTACACATGTAGTATGTGAATGTATCTCAAACAAGTAAGGTTTAGACATTTGTCAGGAGGATTGTCCAGGTGCTCGATTATTTTGTTGCAAATTACATATGTATATGCGTTCGAATGTGTTTACGCAGGGTATAGGGTATGTCAACAAAAAAAAAGAAGAAATACTCATAATTAAACGCAATACTTCTACAAAAAAAAGCAGTGCAAAACTGTTGCCAGCTGATGGATTGAGGTATTTGAGTGGATAATATGGACACAACGATAAGTGGCAGCTCCAATATCCGAGTTATGTATCTACGCTTCAATTTGAACAACCCTTTAAATTTAATCATAAAAACATATATGCGGAGTTTTGCAATAATATGAGTACAATTTTTTCTGATTGTGTTTTTATTATTATTTCAACTCCTGCCGTCACTTTCCGCCTTCAGCCTGCTAATCTACGCATTGGCGGTGTGTAATAGAGAAGTTAAAGAAATTTATGGTTTATTTGATGAAGTTTATGGTTTTTGTTTTTATATGCGCTTGTCAGCTCATTTGTAAATATATTTCTCATACATTGACTAATACATATGTACATTAGGGTGGTCCTAAAATGGCGGAAGCAAAGTTTTATATCAGACTTCCTAAGCCTCAATGCCTTCGTCGATGCTACTATAGTCGAAGATATCACTTAAAAAATTTGGCACCGATTGGCGACGGTTAAGGCGTAACACAAATTTCAGATTTTTCTATGGAGATTAAAAAAATAAAATTAGTTTTTTCCTAATCTAATACCCAAAATCGATACTACCATAGTTGATGATATGACAAACAAATTTTGGTCTCGACGTCTTCATAGGGTAGTATGAAATTTGACCCCTGTGCGACTCGCCTTAACCGACTCCTATCGGGACTAAAATTTATATGTGATATCTTCGACTATGGTGGTATGGGTATTAGAAATTAATTTAAATTTTTTGAGTCCTTATAGCGGAATCTGAAATTTGCCCACCGTGCGACACGCCTTAACCGACTCCAATCGGGACCAAAATTTATATGTGATATCTGTGACCGTTGTATTACCGATCGAAGGGATGAGACTGTAGAAAATCGTTCATCTGATTTTTAAGGACCACCCCAATGTACATACATACATATATACATACATACACATTTCATGTTGGCTTGCGAGGACAGTTGTTTAGAGATAAGCCTGCTATCGGTTGGCTGATATCTCTGTTTTTTTTACTTTTTTGTTGTTGTTGTTTAATATTGCATAATACCTTTTATTAAAATCTATGCTCACTTAATTATAAGTACCAATAAAAGTATTTAGTGCTTCCAAAAAGTAGTAAATGTAAGATTTTATTACTTAATTTGTATAATTTGTCTCCATAAAAACCAGAGGGCATCGACAATGCAATTAACAAGGAAGCAGATGTGTCGGAAGCATACAAGCACCGGCTTTGTAAATAATAAATATTTTTTTAGTATTGTACGTTAATATTTCATCGCGACTATGCGTACAATAAAATAAAATCCCCATACGGTATTTACAATTACAAAAAAACGTCGTGAGTACCAGGTACTCATGAAATTTGATGTGCAAACATCTGTGTATGGCTCGGCAATGCATTTGGCGATTCAGTAATGGGAAATGTTTGAAATTATACATTAGCTAGGATTGCCAGTTACAGTTCTCTGGGTTTTGTTTAGAGCCCTGGGGATGTCTTCAAACGTAGAGCGTTGACTAGGTTATAAGGCACAAAATTACTTAAAAGAAAATCTTTTGTTTCGGAACTAAAACGTGACAAAAAATGTTTATATCTTTTTGTATTTATTTTATTATTGTTACAGCACAACGGGACAACAATTTCTCTATGATCAATATTTTTTATAAAAACACTTTGGTTGTCGAACAAATGAGCTCGGCCGGAAGTATCTGATATGAAGAACCTCAATCTGTCAAATGAACGAATTCCATACAATCTTCCATGACAAAATTAAGGTCATACCAAAACCAGGAATGACTGGAACTGTGCGAAGAGTGCAAAAAGAGGACAAATTAATGCGTGGGATTAATATACGCAAGTCAATTGAAATGCCAGTTAAAATTTCACGATCTAGAGAGTTTTTATGCATTTGTTTCACACGCATGCGAGTACCATCAAAGCGGTTAAATCATTTAAAGATTCAATAACGTAATTCTTGTGCTCCCGAACATGATCAGAATTAATTTAAGCAGGTTTTTTTCTGCATAAATTAATTATGTTGGAATGGAGAACATTCGATATTTCTCGATAGCTCGACAAATTTTAAAAACTTTATGAATTTCGGTAATTCGCTACATTTCAGTTAGTCGATACATTTCGATAATTCGATACGTATTGATAGCTCAATGAATTTCAAAAACGTTAAATTCCAATAACTCGATAAAATTCGATAACTCTACAAATTTCGATAAGTTTCGATAAATTTAGATAACTGTGCGTAGCCATAACTGGATAAATTTCGATAGCTCAAAAATTTAAATAAATCGACAAATATCGATATATGTCGATAACTCGATTTTGTTAGCTCCAAATAATATCGATAGCTCTGTGATTTGGAAGAAATTGATACATGACGACTACCCGATGAAGTTCGTTAACTCGATAAACTTCGGTAACTATAAATTTTGATCACCCGATAAGTTTTGATTATTCATATAAAGCTAAATTTCATTAATTTGATAAATTTCGACTATCCGATAAATTCTCATATCTCCGTAACTATCGATACATTTCGACAACTATCTTTCTGCGTCGCGATAAATTTCATAAACTCAATAGAAATTGATTAATAACTCGATACGTTCCGATAACTTAATAAACACGGACGATCCCATATATTTCGGTAATTATAAGCTTCAGTGATAAGTAACTTGATAACTTTCGATAACTAAATTTCTAAGGACTAGATACATTTCGATTCTTATTGACAAATTTCAACGAATTTTCTTACGCTTTCAGTTGCTCTAATAGTTACTTTTCACCAAGCCTTAACTGCAGTTTATGTCTACTGGAAAAAAGAGATTAAAACTGGAAGGTGGCAATTCCACCTATTAAGTAGAAGCAAACGAAAGGAAAAAAGCAAAAATTAAGAAATACGCCTTGCCGATTACCCCATGTTAAAATTCTTGGCACATACCTGAGTTCTTAACTGCAGTTGAGTCTTTGAAGAAAATAGGCTATATTTCTTATGTATGTATTAGAGAAGGGCGCGAGGTAATTATAGGGAAAAGAATATAGAATAGAGACACAGAAACTCAATCTTGAAACTATTTTGGGCTTTTAGAGATTTTCGGGATTCTCGAGACTTGTCGATAATTCTGTCGGTTTTGTTATCGATATTTTTTTATCGATATTGTGCTCGATATTGTCATCAATTTTACTATCGATATCTTCGGAACTTGTCGATATAACAATCGATATTTTTATCGCTATTTTTATCGATTATTTATTGATTTTGCTATTGTTTTGTTATCTATACTTTTATCGATTTTGTTATCGGTTTCGTTATCGATGTTTTTTATCGATTTTTATATCGATATTTTTGGATTTTATCGATATAACAATCGATATTTTTTTGATTTTGTTATCGATATTTTTATCGATTTTGTTAGCCATATATTTTATAGATTTTGCTATCGATTTTGTTATCGATATTTTTATAGATTTTGGTATCGATTTCGGTACCGAATCTTTTATCGATATTTTTATCGACTTTTTTTATCGATGTTTTTTGTTGATACTGTTTTCGATTTTCTATCGATTTTGCTATTGACATTTCTATCGAATTTTGTTATCGATTTTGTTGATGTTTCTATCGCTTTTGTTATCGATAGAGTACAAAGATAAAAATGAAGATAAAGGAAAAAAGAAAACATAAATGTAATTAGAACGAGCAGGGGTAGAGTTAGGGATCTAGGTAGAAAAAAGACAAAAATATAACCTTAAGCAAAAGCAGATGTATGTATGTATTTATGTATATTGGTTATAAGGCAGAATAGATATGTAAATTTTTGATATTTTGTAAATAAATAGGCAACTAATTCGACACTGTGATGACGCGCTGAGGTGGTAATTTTTATTTAATTGAAGGACACATATTGAGTTAAAATTACAATTTAAAATTGTATAAAATCGATACTAATGAAAATTATTATAAGCTAAAATAATTTAATCGGCTGATTTGAATGAGTTTAAAAGCCAAATTAATTTCGCTTTTGAAGTGATATTTCACAATACTTTTTGTTTTACCAAACAAAAAAAAAAAAACAATTAATCAAAGTTTGAAATTGTAACACATTTTCGATTTCGTTTCGATTTTAATGATATTAAAACCTAATTGAATTTTAATAAAATTTTTCAAACAAAAGAGGAGCAATAGAAAACTGGACCACCAACAAAGCGTGGCTAATCTAATGAACATTTCCAATAACTTACATACGAATACAACTTGCAGCTAAGTGCAACTTACATAAATCAACCTAGATTCATATGAATACGGGCACACTGTGGCTGTTGCTAAGTTCAATGATAATCAAAAATAACTCGGCCTTACAAGCAGTGAACTAGACCTTCCTGCACTGCTGTGGGCATGGCATCTGCCATGGTGGGTAACAATTTTTGTTCAAAATAAGCTTACAAATATTGCGGGCGTTGTATTTTTTTTTTGCTTTTTGTTTTTTGCTTTTTCACGGCTGGCTGATTGAATCTGGGCTGAATATCTCGCTGTGCTTGATTTTTCTTATTTGTAAATGCCAATTAAACTGATACAGTGTTGTTGTTGTTAAGCAAAATTGTTTTCCAGACATTGTTGTTCTTTTCATGGTGTTGTTGTTGTTGTTGTGGTTGATCGCCGCTGTGCTTCAATTACTTATTTAATCATAATTCGTTCGCGTTTCAACAGTCATCAATCATCAAATGAAATGCCGACGAACGAGGGGCACAGCAGCAGCAGCAGCAGCAACAGAGATGGAGACGACGGACTGAAGCAGCAAGAATGCCAAAGCGATAACCAAGGCGATGAAGCAAAAAATCCAATGCAAGGGAGGCGGAAAATCAGCGAGAAGCAACGGAGATCGACTGAAAATTTGCAACGTCAGCTGAAAGCAACAACAAACACTTAGCAACAAAAATACTTAACCGTGCAACAGTGGCAATTCACTGGCCGCAGCTAAACTAACTGTCAGCTTGACAGATTGCCAGGAATATATTAACGGAGTGCAACAAGTGGTGGGCTTGTGCGGACAGAGGAGAGCGACGTGGACGTTTTGAGGTACTGCAGCAAAGTTGGCGGAAGAAGAGAAAAAGCTTCAAACTCATTGCAGCATTGCAACATGGTGTTGGCCTTTGCTGCATATGCTCTTGACTGTCAAAGCGAAACTGCCAAAGCGCTGAAGGTTGTCCGACAGCGATGAATCTAAGAATCTGAATTTGACTAGTCGCCATAAACGCTTCGTTAGTAGACAAGCGTCGCTGCAGAGTTGATATGAAACAAAAATGCTCGTAGTAAACGGTATCCATTGTGGTCATACAAAACGAAGAAAAACAGTGGCAGCAACTAAAGCAACACAGTATACAATAATAACAACAATTATCTTATCGGCTCAAGAGTCAATCTGGTTGAACTTGTGCGCTCGCGATCACACAAATCAATCGATCACGTTTCGTGCCAACCGAATGAGAGCATTCGGAAGAAAAAGTATTCATAAACCAAGTGAAGAGCAGAGCTTAGTAAGACGCTACT